AAACTCATTCCAATTTCCAACACATTCAACACCCCCCTTAATGGCACCCCCCTTTTTGATTTGGAAAATCCGTTAAAGATGTTATGAAACTCATGAACTTGACTGAATAATGGATTTGTTCCCTATGGTTTTGTGTTTTTTGCGAAAGTGGTCCCTATACTTTATTTATTGCATACTATAACTCGTATTTTCAAGTTCCGTTGAATTTAGTTTTCTGACATTCCAACCATCGTTTTTCTTTATTTCATTGTCTTTAATTAGTTTCCTTTTGATCTTCTCTCCCGAATCGTATGAACATCTCCATCACGACAACTCATTTGCTAGATCACCCTTAAACATCAATAATACTAAAAATAACAATATACAAAGAACCCGATACCCTAAAATCAATATCCAAATCCCTAAATCAAGTTGAAATCAATACGTACACGACCAAAAAGGTTGCTTGGTCGATGTGAAAACGAACACAGGGAAAAGATAGGTCTGCAACTCGGGATGTGATTTGAACCGACTTCCATGGATCGGCCTCTATGGAATTCTAAACCGACGGTTTGATGGGAGAAGAGAAATAGAGATGGGGAGGGGAAGGTGGTCTTCATCATGTGCATTCCCGACTGAGAATGGAGGGACGATGCTGTTTTCAAGATTCAGACAATAATTTAGATTTTTTTTGGTTCATGAGGAAAATTAAGTTTGTTGTTTTTTTGTTCTATTTGGATTTAGGGTTAGGAGTTTATTTGACAGTTGCTGAATTGTTTGGTGCAGAATGATTAAATAATCAAAAGGATTAACTGGCTTTTATGATATAGTGCAAAATAAAATATAATTGTTTGGTAACTGTTTACAATGAAATTAGGACGCTGGAAAGTTAAGGATGCCCATAATACAAAATCATTTAGGGGGTTTTAAAACCATTTAGAGACAAATTTTTTTTTTCCAAACAAGATTCACTTTTTAACGATTATTCGTTCCCACTAATGATATTAAAACATTATTTTAAAAAAGTACATTTCAATAAATTTATGAAATATTTTAATAATATAATAAAACGTCAGAATATTTTAACAATATTTCATAGAATTATTATTATAAACTTTATTTTATACAAATTAAGTCATACTGAAATATTTGTTATTTCATTTATAATTAATTTTTTATTCATTTCATCAATATTTTAATAATATAATAAATATTTTATATTATTTTATATAGATTAAGTTTTTTGAAAAAATTATACATTTCTACTTCTTCCTATTTACACTTGTGAATAATTAAAATATCAAAGTTAATGATGAAAAGAATGTATGGTTTTAATTAGGGGTGTTTAAAAACCTGATCAACTTGATATTACTTAATCCAATCTAATGTGAAATAATTCAATTCGAAACAACTCAATTTGTTTAATCGAGTTGTAAAATTTTCAAACCGTAGGTATTAAGTTGATATGTGGTTACTACTATTTAAACCTAACCCAACCCGATGATTCCATTATTCTTTTATTTATTAGATTTAATATGATTGTTGAAAGTGTATTAATATATACATTAGACAATTATACCATCACATACGTTCTTTATGTACACATATTTTTAATCTATTAACATCTATATAACTCATTCGTATATATATTCAGTAACTGTGAACATATATATGTAAATTAAGAAAATTAACTTAATATGACATATGTAAGAATTATGGATAAATTGTATCAAATGGTTGATGATGAAAAAGAAATTATGAATAGAGAAATAACATATTCAAGTTAGAAGAATATTTTAATATACCAAAGTATCAACTCAAATAACCCATACTGTTTGGGTTGAGTTGTATTTTGTTTTGTATTGGGTTGAGCTAAAAATTTTCAAACTACAAGCATTGAATTGGGTTAAAAAAATCACAAATATTGAGTTGAGTTATTCAAATATTTTCAATCAGATCAACCCAACCAATAAACCATAATAATTAATGGTAATTTGTGGTTAAAAAAAAAAATAAAATAAAAACAAAAACTGCGAGAGGTCGCCGGTAGCGTATCGGCGGTTCCTTCTGAACTCTGGACATGGAGATATATAAAAATCATATCTTATAACAAATTTCCATTTTTAAACCCTCACCAAATCCTTTCGTAATCCAAAAAGTGATTTCTAATCGTCACCATTTTTGTTTGCGATTAAAGATCGATTTCAGACGGTGTAATCCATCCCTCATCTTCAGAATCAGATTCCTTTCTTCTCGTCCTACTTCTGAAAGCAATTCACAGGTACCCTTTTCCCACAGATCTGAATTCCCTCTTTTCGATCTTTTTATCGTATTTGTTCGTCTTCAAATGTCGAGAATTCTTATGGGTTTTAGTTGATATTTCTTCTCGTATTTGAAGTTGCTTGTTGTGAAGTATTTTCTTTCAGAACACGAAATCTAATCATCTCTTGAAACTACAAAGAAATTTGGGTTTGGTTCTGCTCATTTGAACCATAATCAGGTAGACAGTTAGGGTTAGGGTTAAAATTGGGGTTGCATATAATTTGGGTGTGAAATCTTCTTGTCAAATTTGGAAGGGAAAAGAGTGTCATCTTCAATTCCAGTTCTAATTTGTTATATTTAGTTATGGAAACTTTTGAATTTGATGGTTGTTTGATGTATTGTTGTTAACATGTGTTCATATCAAAATCTTGAAATGGTCTGCAAATTTTGATGGTTTTCAGGTGCATATTTAGAAGATGGAAGGTAGTATAGTTAGAAGGGTGATTCCTTCTGATAATAGTTGTCTCTTCAATGCTGTAGGGTGAAGTTTTCAAACATTAAACTTCATTTTTTCACAATTCTTTTTTTTATTTTAGGTGGGGTATCGATCTCTAGTCGTTTGTTGGTTGTTTTAATGCAGGTATGTTATGGACCATGATAAAAAGAAGGCTTCGGAACTGAGACAGGTTAGATTCTGTCGGTTCTTACGTTCGTCTTCTTTGTAAATTCTGTATTTTGGGTTCTTGAAGCAAAACCAAACTGAACGGAAAACGGTAAATTTCATCCAAAGCTAGGGTCTGAGTAGGGTAAGAGCCTGTTTGTTAGCAGCTTAATGATATAGAAGACTATTTGGTAGTGGCTTAATGATATAGTAAGTGACTTATTTAGTAAGCTTCTAAGGGGGATCTTTATGCAGAAAGTCAAGTTTTTTCCAAACCTGCTCCTCCCAATTAAAAAACACGCTAATTCCATCTATGAAAAAGCCCTCCAGAACAAAAACATTCCCAATCTAAACAGAAAGATTAATCCACACAAACAACTTTATCTAGACTGCACTTAATGGAAAACCAACCGAACCTTACCTTTACTCTGAGGGGTAGAGAGGTTGTTTATGCGAAGACCTTGTTTGCAGAACAAATGGATATAACAAGTGAGGAAGGTGTAATTCTTTCATTAATGCCGTGTATCGATTAAGTTGTTTGTATTGGTTAAGATGTTTGCATGTTGACTGCCGAGTAAACGATCTGAAAGATAGAAATGACTATTTTATCATCCGTCTAGACTAAATGTTGAATTTATATGATTGTTGGTGGGAGAGTTTGGACAAGTAAACGAACAAGGTAATTGGGCATAAGGAAGGAAAGGGAAACGAGAGACACACAAATTGGTAGAGTGTGAATGAAGCTAGACGGTTTGTAACGGAATTGCACGGATATAGCATTCTCATGCAAATACAATTACGTGATGTATATTTTCTGCAGTGTTTTCACACAAACAACTACTCTATTCTTTAGGGTTAGAGGCATACATCTTACCCCAAGACCCACCTCCGGGTGCGATATAAAGGGCTCGTTCGATTTGGTTTATATTCAAATGAGAAAGTTACTTTAGAATCAATATTACATGGATAATGCCGAGTGGTGCCATCAACAATGTTGTTTCTTCCGAAATGGGAATTCTTAGTTTGTTTTGACGTTAGCGTTGTTATATATATATATATATATAKAGAGAGAGAGAGAGAGAGAGAGAGAGAGAGAGAGGGATAAATTAAATGAGAACCATAGAAGGTTACACCGTTACAGGCCCTTGAGAACCAATTTAAAAATATTTTTTACATGATTTTTTTCATCAAATGCTAGGATTTAAGATATTGTTTCACATATATTTGTTTCATAGTGTGATAGTTTCACCATGAGAAACATTTTACGTGTATTTTTTGTTTCACTAAGTGAACGGAAAAAGAAGTTTCACATGTAAATTTTTACAAGGTGAACACAAATATATGTGTAACAATATCTTAAATCATAGCTTTTGATGAAAAAAATCATGTAAAATACCGGTTCTCACGGGTTTGTAACCTTTTCGTGGTTCTCATTTGACTATCGTGCTCTCTCTCTCTCTCTCTCTCTATATATATATATATATATATGCTTCATAAATCATAGTTTAATGCTTCAGTAGGTTTACCAATCATATTGTTAACTATTTTGTATAATTATTTCAAAGGTTATAGCCGCTACGGTAGCTAGCGATCCAACAAAATATTCTGAAGCATTCCTTGGGAAACCGAACGAAGAATATTGTGCTTGGATTCTTAATCCCGAGAAATGGGGAGGTATGTTTCGTTCTCTTTTCTTTTCGATTCATGTCATAAGGAGCATGCCATTTATCATATGGGACGTGGATTGCACTATGATGAATATTTGCAGTCAATCACACGTTGTTTTGAAGTACGTAATATTTTATATATGGAAAAACTCACACACACTCTTCACCTTTGGTGGGTGTGAATCTTTGACTTCCAAGTAGGTTGGGCTCTACCAGTAATCCGGGTACTAATGTATTGTTGGGCCAATGGCTCTTTGGTCGTTCACATATTTTTATGGAACATAGTTAATTTTTTTATGTTGAGGTTGGTTTTGAAGCTCTAAGGGGTTGTTTGGTGATGCTGAAAGATTTGGTACGAAATGATTAAGTGGTCAGAATGATTAAGAGGTTCTGTATGATTAATGTGATTAAAAGGCTTTGTAATGGCGATGCCAACGTAGTTGATTTTAGGAAACCCATGCCTCAAAACCAATATCTTGAATGAATCATCGTGTCCAATGCATCTTGGTGGACTCCGCATTTCTTGTTATATTGGCTGAATATTTTTCTTCATGTGTGATTATTCTCCCATTTTAAGAGCGTTACTTTTTCAATCTTCTTTAATCGTTTCTAAACATGGAGATACGCTTTCCCTCTAAAATCATGAAGTAAGAAAAGATTGCACTTCTATTTATATTTATTACAAATAGATTGATGATACTGTGTCGTGTTCTCAAGATTGCCTTCTTTGAACCTGTAAGCGTAAACCAACCGAGTATATCCGATGTGGAGGTGGGGTCTGGGGAGGGTAAGATGTACACAAATTTGATATCTACCTCAAAGAGTTGAACGGCTATTTCTATGAAAACCTCCGGCTTGTGAAAAGTGGGTGAATGAGAGAAAAGCGAGTAAGCTTAAAATTTGAGAAGTTGGATATAAGTAGAGATGCACAAGGCCCAGGCCTTCCAAGCCCGTTTTCAATGAGAAAAAATGGCCAGGCTTTTAATGGCCCATGCCGGGCCGGGCTTTGGGGTTGAAAAAGGGTCCGAAAGGCTTTTTTGGGCTTTACCGGGCTTCTTCAGCCTGGGATTTTTCAGGCCTGGCATGCCCCCAAAATTTCGGCATATCGGGCTTTGAGGCCTGGCCTGGACCGGGCTCGGGTTCACTAGGCCCGGGCTTTGGGCTTCTGCTTTTTTGTGCATCTCTAGATATAAGTAAGCAATAGCAGTACAAATAGAGATTAGAGGCAGAAAAACATAAAACCGAACTACTGAGTGGATTTACTAATCTTAACCTCTACACTCTATACCTTCGGCTCGCTTCTTCCCGTCTAGATCTCCGGCTTTAGGAACAACATAAACCGTAACTTAACTTTTGAACAATCTTTCGGAATATACGTGTAATTTTTTCCGCTTAATTTTTTTTTCCTAAAATGCTCTTATGAAGGTGCGATAGAGCTTTCAATATTAGCAGATTATTACGGTCGTGAAATTGCAGCATATGATATCCAAACAACAAGATGTGACTTGTATGGACAGGTTAGCATTCGTTAACCATGGTTAAAAAATTCGTATTTTTTGGCTGTAAAAAATCCCGATATCCCATTTTTGTTTGGCAGGAAAAAAGCTATCGTGAAAGAGTTATGTTGATATATGATGGACTCCATTACGATGCTTTGGCCGTATGTGATTCTCTACCATTCCTTTTTTCGGTCTCCTTATGCTTTTAAGGGACTGTTTGCTTGGTTCCATTAAGTCATGTACGGATAAAGTTGCTTGTGTGGATTAATCTGTCTATATAGATTGCGAAGGTTTTTATTTGGGAGAGTTTTTTCATAGATGGAATGAGCATGTTTTTTTAATTGGAAGGGGTAGGTTTGGGAAAAACTTGGCTTTTTGCATAAAGTTTCCCCCTAGAAGCTTATTGAATAAGCAACTTTCTATATCAATAAGCCACTACCAAACAGTCATGTATAGCTGACCGAATAAGCTGCAATCCTATTAAGCTGCTAACAAACTGACCCTAAGCAATATTTGATTCTTAATAAGTTGTTTTCAAGACTTCTGTAAGCTGGGTTTTTTGGTACGCTTTGAGAAGGGTGTAGTTTAATGAAGTGCGTGTTTATATAACGCTTTTGTCTTTATAGATGTCTCCGGCCGATGGAGCTCCTGAAGAGTTCGATCAGACGGTTTTTGTTGTTAATCGCGATAGGACCATCGGGGCATATGAATCACTTGCTTTAAATCTTGTAAAGGATCAACAAAGGTAAAAGTACCAAATGTCGGATTCATAAAGTTTCGGGTTTTTTCTGATTCTTTTTCTTTTCATGAAAATGACGCTCAATTTTGACGTGTTTTAGGAAAAGGAGTTATACCGACACTGCCAACTTCACATTGCGCTGCGGGGTGTGCCAAATTGGTGTCATTGGTCAAAAGGTAATACTTTTTTTAAGGAAAAATAGTTCTTTTTCAAGTTTTGTAGGGTGAGTCTGCCGTACGTGAGGACAATACAAAAACTTGTTGTCCCACGGTTGGCACACCATTGGACTAGGACAAGACAAGACCTGACCTGATTGGGACAAAAATGTTTTTTTTCAAGTTTGACCAAAATAGGCTGAACAAAAACTAGGGAACAGGGATAAGTAAGGCAAATTACTAAACTACCCCTGTCAAAAAAAACCTAAAACCTTCTGGAATTCTTTCACTTGCCTACCTCACGCTCGTAAGACAAGACCTGCATGGGACAAAAATGCATGTTTTCTGCATCAAAATACCAGGGAGTTGGGCATAATATTGGTAAATTACTAAACAACCCATGTCAAATAAAAACCGTAAAACCTTCCGGATTCTTTCACCCCGCCTACCTCATGCCTCCTAAGACAAGACTTGAGTAGGACAACAATGCATTTTTTTTCCTATTCCATCAAAATAGGTGGAACAAAAAAAGGGGAGATGGGTACAAGATTGGTAAATTACTAATCTACCCATGTCAAATTAAAACTTTCTTGTTTGTTTGCACCTTAACAAGCTTAATGGGATTCACAGCTTATTCCGTGTTACCCATACATGACTGTTTAAATGATACAGACAGTGGCTTATCAATAAGCTTCCAGTGTGGGGAGTTTTATGCAGAAAGCCAAGTTTTTTTCAATCATGTCCCTTCAAATTAAAAAAAAAAAAACATGCTTCTTTGATCTATAAAAGAACCTCCCAAACAAAAACCATCTCCATCTACACAAACAGATTAATCCACACAAACAACTTTATCCATACATGACTTAATGGAAAACCAATCAAACAATCCCTAAAACCTTTAAAAAGAAATTCAGCTGCATATGTAACTATATCAAGACAAGACCTAAGGGGCACAAAAATGCATAGTGGAACAAAAAAACAAGAGAAATGGGGATATGATTGGTAAAATTACTAAACTACCCAAGTCAAAACCGTGAAACGTTTTCGTCTTGTCCAGTCTGCAAACAACACTTTATTTACCTGTGGCCTTTGTTTTATTTGTATTGAAACAATGCAGGAAGCTGTAGAACATGCACAAGCAACAGGGCATGTCAACTTTCAAGAATATAAATGAAACAAATAATCAGGGGATGTGATTCTATTCTATTGTGTCTGAAACAGTTAAGCTCAAGTAAGTTTGTGTCTGTTTGTTCATTTGTGACCCAACATTGTTGTAAAACTTTGTACCATATGAACCGGTATTTTAGACCCGTTTGATGGCGAAATTGTGGGCTTTTCTTTACGATGGTCGATGTTCGTGTTTTTGTTCAGGTTGCAATTTGATTCTTAAAAATCTTTGGGTTTTCTGGAATTCATGTTTTGCTTGATGCAATATCATAAAAATGGTACTCATGAGTCATTTCTAGATATGCACGATACAGGCCTTCCAAGCCTGTTTTCTCCGAGCCCGTTTCCAAATTTCGGCTTGATCAGGCTTTTTGAGGCCTAGTCTAAACGAGAACGAGCTTCTGGCTCACTATGGGTTGGGCTTTGGGTGTTTTGTGCATGTCTATGCCGAACAATTAGGGTGTGTTTGATGTCCAGATAGGACAAGATAAAACAACTGTTCAAAACTGGACAGAACGGAACAAGTAAAATGATCAATTTACCCATAATGAGTTGTTTATTTTAATTAATTTATGTAATTTATTAAATTATAATAGAATAATTGTTTTTTATAATAAAATATATCATTAGAAAATTTTCGCCAAAACAATTAAAACGGCATTAAATAAAAAAAAATTGTAGTTTCCAATTTTTATTATCTCTTTTCTACATTATTTTTTATTATTAATATATAATAAATTACATAATTAATAAAAATATAGAAACCGTATATGAATAATATTTTGACAATAAAATGAAAGTTTAAGAAACATAACATACAATAAATACATTTAAAGAACGAATAAAGTGTAAATAGAAGATTTATTTGATGTTTTAGAAGAGAATTAAGTTTTATTTTGCGATTATATTGGTAAAATATAAGTTTGTTCCGCTTTGTTCAATGAGGTAAGGATGGAACAGGCGTGTTCCACTTTGTTTTTGTCTGTTTCACATAAAAGTTATGTTAAACATGAGACATGAATCTCTGTCCAATTCTGTTTAGTGTACTAAACGCATCCTTAAGGATGTATAAAAACACAAGGTCATAGGGACTTGGTCCAATTTAGCTTATTTTTTGATTTCATTGAAAATTGAAAAAACCTTGTTTGGATAAACATTATTAGGGGCCGTTTACTAAACGCTCACTCGGGTAAGCGCTTACCAAGTCACATTACTTTAGTGGATGAATATATGATAAGGACCAAAAATCTTACTTGGTAAGAGCGAGACAAGGACGAAGAGTCTTACCCGGTAAATGAGGGCGACGACTCTTACCACGGTAAGCACTTACTGGGTAAATTGTTGTATACGATGTCGTTTTGCTGGACTAAAATCTCACTCGGTAAGTAAATGATAATGTTAAATTTTATCGTTAAGCGCTTAGCGGGTAAGTGTTTGGTAAACAGTCCCTTAGTTTTCTTAACCGTTACTTGAAAATTTCAACAAGCTATTGTAATTCTTTTCTAATTTTGCCTCTTATATTTCTCCGATAACTACTTATGAAGTGCGTTTTGGTACACAATGCAACAAAAAGAACTTGTTGACAGACACGACAACTAGTCCAGGATGTGGCATGATTTAGTGAGATAAAAATGCAACTTTTTTTGGCCTTGTAAAAATCAAAACGATGGAACACGATAAGTAAATTACTAAACTATGCATGTCTAACTAAAACTTTATAACTCCCCCGCAAGGAAAGATACCCACATATCAACTGCTTTTTTTACTAAATATCACTAGTTTAACAGCTAACAGCTAACTTATTAGCCGGTAGCCTGGTACATGATCTAAATTCTAAACCATGACAACAAGAGATGAAGATTTAGACACGAAACGAATAGACCGGATCCATAAGCCGATAAAAGAGTCCGAAAACATGGTCCCAATTTCATTTCATATGTCACATTATAATCCTACAACAGAAAAACAATATTGCACCTTCTTGAACATGAATTCATCTTCCACAAAATGGATGCTCAAGTTGAAAATTGTACACTTTCTTCATTGAATCACCTGCAAGAAAAGGACCAAAATACCCTTACAGTAGTAGATATTACCCAAAATCAACCTCTCTCCTTCCTTCCTTCCTTCCTTCCTTCCGTCATTCGTTATTCCGAAACGCATAGATCCCACGAACACGAGCGTGATAGAGCATATTTCTTATTCACATGTGAATGTGGTCCACACGAGCGTGATAAAGCATATATATATTTCTTATTCACATGTGAATGTGTTCATGGACTGCACTTATATCTTCTGCTTCAAGACTTGGCGCAACTGTACCTTTTGACTCTCCATTCTCGCTTCCAAAAGCTTTGCTTTTAAGCTGTTTTTCTGCATCACACCACGCGGCCATTCGATGCACCCTTTCATCCCCTTCGTGATGTGTGGGTTCGAACCTGACCCCGGTGAGCTCCATTCAGACGGGCTTAGCCCAGAGCTGCGGTCCGGTGAAAGGACTGCACCACTCGAGAGATGGGTTCCGTTTGAAAGTCTTCCGTTCAGACCCTCCATGGATATAATCTTGCAGTTTTCACCGTTACTGGAATATGATGATCTCCAAAGACGAGATATGGAAGACGCCTTTTTCGGCTGTTTATTTGGCACTGAACAAACTTCGGTTATTTCAGTAATTGGTGTCCCGTCTTCCCATTCTCTTCGGCTGCTCGACATATTACAGCCGAAGCGATTGTTGGTGACAGATGGGTCGCTCCCATTGGGCGAATAATTCGAACCCTGATCTTCAAGATGGCTTACGGTTTCCCAACCACTCTCGTCATCGTCGTCCTCGTCATCATCTTCATCTTCTTCAATAACATCACCATTTTGATCGAAACATGCAGAAGAATGTCTATGGCTAGTGAGACTATGAACATCCAACGGTTCGGGTTCGATCTCCTTCGACCCAAAACCAACCTCTTCGAAAACAGAAAAGATGTCATCTGGGTTCGCGGGTTCATACTTAAAATCCCCGATTTCTTGAATATTAACCGAATCAGCCGACTGTTTAAGGGTTTCGGCTCTTTTCATCTCTTCTGCATCAAGATTTGTGCTTTTTGAATTCAAGAAATCTTGAAGATCTGCAACAAGTTTATTCATCTGTGAATATTTGTCTTCGAGTGTCACTTTAGCGTCAACGAGCTTCATCTGGACGCGTTCTTCACGCCAAACTTCAGCCATTTGTAACATTTTCCGTTCATCGTCGACTTCCTCCCTCATTTTCATGGATTCCCGCTTCAAAGCTTCGACTTCCGCCTTATCTTCTCCGATTTCTTTAGCAAGTTCATCACATACTTCCTCTATCAATTCTCTCGCTTTCCGCTCCTTTTCATAATCCTGCATATAACGCTTGGCGGATAATTTGCAATCCGCCAATTCGTTCACCAATTTCGAATTCACGATCTCCATTCTTTGCCGGTTCTTCCTTTCTCTGTTCAACTCGCCTTTTATATCATCAATTACCGCACGTATCTTCTCGTGTTCTCTGCTCCTCCACGTGGCTCGTTCTTCGTTCAGCTTCTTTAAGAACTGTTCTAGTTTCTTCTTTGACGACCGCCGTTCGTTTTCGAGATCGTGGATACGTGCTCGAGCTTGCTCGAGCTCCGATTCAAGTGCCGACACCATTGCCACAACTCCTACTTGTTCCTCCAGATGCTTTGATTCACCGTAGATTCTTCTTACGTCTTCCGATGCTTTCCACGAACCTGGGTCCCACTTTGTCGCCCCCTCCATAGCAGAGTTGGAAAAATGAAACGTAGGTTCGAGCTACAAGATCACAAAAGTTGAAAACTGGGGTCAGTTCGATTGTTTTCTAGCTTTTACAGTTATTTTTGTTCCATATCCTCACTGCGACAAAATGGGCTTTATAGAACGCCAAATATGTCTAAATGTCTTAATAAACTGCTTTCTAGGACTTAAGTTTATAGAACCAAACAATTGTGCGTCATAATCGTTTGGTCCTATAAAACTTGAGTCCTATCAAGCAGTTCATTAAGACATTTAGACATATGTGACGTCCTATAAAGCCGATTTTGTTGTAGTGTCTCTAAACGTTCATTGTTCGATTTTCATTCAAGAAAAGATTGTTTTCAAGAAGTAAAAACCGAAACTTGTTACACCATGAAATCTACCATTTGATGTCAATTTCAACACTCGCTTTCTATTAGTGGTCATACTTTGAATGTCAAATAAACTACTTTGAATTTCAAATCGACATGCAAATATTCAACCTTTAAGAGAAAGATCTATTACTACATCAAAGCGTACAACAAAACGTAACCGAATTGTTATGCACATGTGCATATTGGAAAAATTACTTACAAATACTTGTATGCACATGTGCATACCCTAGAGATGAACAGTTACTAGGGTGTTCTTCAGTTTTTCATTTTTTTGCGGTTTTCCCATGAAGGTGACCCTATACACACACAAATATATATATATATATATATATATATAGGGTTTATTCCAAATGCAACCATGTCCATTTGTACAACCAATACAACCCAATTAATTGAGATATTTATGGAAATACAAGTTTCAAGAGCGATTTACCTTGTGAAGAAACCTATTTCTTGATCCGGTAACAGAATTAGGGCTTTGTGGCACTTCTTTCATTGGAAAATCAATCGATCTCCTATTGTGACGAGCAGGAGAATGGATCCCAGAATGATCGATAGTTGGCTACACATGGAAGAACAAAAAGTGAGCTCCATACTTGTGTAAGGAATGTACAATGAAATCTAAACAATGCCACAAGAGATCATCATTAAAAGTCAACATCAAGTTTACACAGGAGGTAGGTTTTCCCTTTTTTGGTAGCTGTGGGTGTCTGGAGCAACTTACGCACACCTCAACCAATCCCATGAAACCCTGAAGGTAACAATCAAGAAAATCCCCGGTGGCACTGAAGAGACTCGAGCTAGCGACCAATGGGAAAGATCCCCAATACCAAATTAAACATTCAGTATAAAGATTGATAATTCGAGTCTAAAAACTAAAAAGGCCACAACGGATCATCATTCATGTCTGGACCACAGGACCGGTTTGTGGACACCTTGACTAACTTCACGGGACCCTGAAGATAACAGCTAGAAAAAAATCTCAGACGCCCAAGTGCTATCCTTTATGGGAAAATCATCAGTGGCCCTAAGGAGACTCGAACTAACGACATACGGGGAAGAGCACCATAAACCTAGCCTTTATTGTCGTCACTTGAGCTGGCTCTAAAGGTATAAACCGAATTTTTCAAGTCCTCGTGTGGATTTTTATCATCGATATGTTCCCATTTTAACACTTCGTACCGTTACTCATTGCTTATCCATTTTGCTACACAAAGAATTTATTTTTATCGATCTTGAAACCGAAATGCCAATTCATCCGACGCTCAAAAAGTCAAAAAGCACCTTTTGGGGGACAAATGTAGTGATTATGTACAAGAATTGAAACCATTTTCACCAAAAATCTTGAAAAAATCCCCTTTTTGGTGTCCAATTTGATGAACCCACATTCGTCGTAAAACCGAATGATCATTTTTATGAATAATTGTCCTTCAATTTCTGTTCCAGGTTTCTTGTGAAAATGGGATAAAAACACTGTACTTTTATCAAGAAAACAGATCATAGATTTGTGGTCAGATTTAATTCAACATTTGAAGACAGAAAAATGTGATCTTGTTTCTAGATTTGAATTCACACATGAATATGAATTGATTCACAGTGAATAAGCTTTGAAATGAACCCTAATTATGCAAATCTTTAATTAGGGTTTATAAAGATCAAGAACAGATAAGTTGATTCACATTGCA